AATAGAGTGAGTAGCAATATATTTAAAAATGTATATGTATATGATATTATATTTTTCCAGATATTAGAGTCACAGATGAAAATGCATATTTTTAAAAAAGAAATTATTTAGAGTTATGAACTATTAATACATTGGTACACATCTTCCCAATATATTGATAATATAGTATTTTATATTCTACTTACTATAGTAATGTCAACATCAAAATAAGAATGTGGAGATGAATCTCTAAATTTAATGTTTTATCTGGCAAGAAAGATGTGCAATTTGGGGAATGCATGCAGACTCAGTATGTCCAAAGAACAAAGAGAAGGTTGGAGGGTTTATAAAAAAGAGGAATATTAAGTGTGGTCCTGAGAAGTTTCACTGGTATTAGTGAAACTTTGGGAAGCTGGCAGGATCCAATTAGTGGATGACAGTGATGGGCAAAATTAGTCCTGGAGTTGCATCAAGTTAGCAGCTATAGATAAAACTAGTTTCAGGTTACAATGGGCAGTTTCAGCCACTGAACTTGCAGAGAATAAAATTTCTACAGCAATGTTATGTGCCTGCAATGCTTTTTAACCCTGGCCTCTCAACTCTGATTTAGTTGGGTATGACAAGAATGACTGTAATTAACTGAACATTTTAATGATTTATAGTCATTAAATAATATTTTCTTATAATGTTGAGCCATAATCTTTTAATTAATTCCAAATTTTGACTTTTTGGTTATGACTATCCTAAAATGAAAGACAATGTAATGAAACTAGGCATAGTGGCATGTGCCTCTAGTCCCAGCTACTTGGGAGGCTGAGGCCAAAGGATCGCTTGAGCCCAGAAATTCAAGGCTAACATGAGTTAAGATCATCCCTGTGGATAGCCAGCCTAGCCTGGGCTACATAGTGAGACCCCATCTCTTAAAAAAAAAATGAAATTTGTATATATAAATGTTTAAACATTTTTTCCAATGGATTTCCCTTTACATATATCTGTTTCATGCAAGATATCACTAAGGAAATTTATAACACATTTCATGTTAAACTAAGTATTTGGGAAGCTTTATCATATTAACTATCACCATAAATATATACCAGGTAGATGTTGCAAAGTGTTTCTTTTTGAGATTTTTAAAAAACTCTCTTGGATAGCCCAAATAATGTCAGTGAAAAGGAAATGTAGAAAAATAATACTGTGTAGTTTTGAAAAAGTGAAAAAAATGATTATTTTTGCAATCTTTTCTTATGTAGCTTTATTGAAAGATAAAAATGCCTAATTACATTATCAAAAAGCTACAGTGATTTCCATTATTTTTAAGAGAAATAATATTAATTATTTCCTAATTAATTTGAGGGAAAATAATTTCCACACTCCTTTTCAGTAATGTCTAATATGTGATAGTATGCTTCTAGAAACTTTCAGTTCTATACAGGGTTTTATTTTATTTATCCAGATTTTCCAGGAAGAAAATCTTCTTTTAGAAAATACTTTTTTGTTTTATTTAAAGAGATTAGTGTTAGATCTCAAGATGATACTTTGGATTAAGTGCCTTAAGTCTTAAAAAAAAAAAATAGAAACTCATATTGAGGAACCCAAGAATGTGGGCTTCATGGGCAGAGGTTATAGGGAAAATGGGGCCCTAGACTATGTATTTTTTCTTTTCTTCCCTTCCTGTGCATGTAAAGAAACATTAACAATGCAGTGATTAATTTCAGAGTAGCAGAAAACTCCAGCAATTACCCTGACATTTAAAAAGAAATCATTTTCTTAGAACACATGACATTTATTCTTTCTAAGAGATACGGTCTCTTTGAACCAAAGCTAGACAATTATTAAAACCTGTCTGGCCTAAAGAATCCTTTATGGAGCTTAGGAAAGAAAGGCAAAGTGATCATTCTACCTAGCATCTATTCTTGTTTTACAGATTTCTTATTCTATATTGCTTTATAAAGGCTAAAGTTTCCAAGGCCTATTTTTTTCTAGCAACTGAACAATGAAAAGTGAGTGAAGAGTGAGCTTGTGACAAGTATCATCATGAGTTGTCTGTTCTATCCCATAGTACAGATTATTATTCAAAGAGAAGTATGCCTTCCGTTTGTGAATTAATGTAAATGAGCTAGAGGTATGATACTGAATGAAGAAAAATAGGATAAATAAATTCAGGGGTGGGCCATCTTGTATACAGTTTATTCAGATATTTGCTTTTCTCATAGAGTTCTCACAGAAGGCTACTCTTTATCATATTTTATTTTTAAAAATAAAGTGTAATAAAATGATACTTTCTGGATCTCTTCAGGTGATAAAAGAGAACAAGATCCATGAAATTAACTCATTTAATTTGTAAATAATGCAGCAATCCACACTTTATATTAATAACTGTTACTACCACCCAGATAGGAGACCAATGGTTATACTCCACCCTCACACTTTATAGTTAATACAAAGTTATGTACTATGTATAATGTATTTTATTATAGTTAATATAAAATACATAGATAATACAGCATAGGTAGAGAGAACTATAGACATACTTCACCTTGACACTTATAGTCAATAAATGGTACACTAGTTCAGGTAGAGAAACCTTTAGATATGTTTGCCCTATCCATCTCATGTAATGGAGTTTAACATTTCCTCAGTGATGCTAATCAAAATAAAGAATTCAACAAGTCCACATGATTCCTGAATCATGTTAAAGTTTATAATTCCCAGGTCATAATATAGATTCAGTGGGGTTTTTTTTGTTGTTGTTTTTTCCCCTAAATTGAGACAGGGACTTGCTCTGTGGCTGGGGCTAGTTCAGTGGTGTCCATGATAGCTCACTGAAACCTCAAACTTCTGGGCTCAAGCAATCCTCCTGTCTCAGCCTCCCAGGCATCTGGGACTGCAAGTGTGAGCCATCATGCCCAGCTAATTTTTCTTATTTTTGTAGAGAGGGGGTCTTGTTCTTGCTCTTGCTCTTGCTCAGGCTGGTCTCAAACTCCTCCCAAAGTGCTAGGATTACAGGGATGAGCCACTGTGCCTGGACTTGAGCCTTAATATAATGAATTTTGGTTTCTAAAATGAGATGAAGACCTATAATTTGCATTCTTTAAAGCTGCTGACCCCAGATCCCTGGCCGGGGACCTGTAAGAGTCTCTGGCCCTTTAGGAACCAGGCTGCAAAGCAGGAGGTGAGCATGAGCTCCATTTGTATTTACAGCCACTCCCATAAGGAATAAGCTCCGCCTCCTGTCAGATCAGTGGTGGCATTAGATTCTTATAGGAATGGGAACCCTGCAGTAAACTGCACATGTGAGGGATCTAGGTTGTGCACTCCTTAGAATGTAATGCCTGCTAATCTGAGGTGGAAATGAGGCACTGATGCTAGCGTAGGGGCGTGGCTGCAAATACAGATTATCATTAGCAGAGAGGTTTGACTGCACAGTAAATATCATGCACTTGAATCATCCCGAAACCATCCTCCCTTGCTTCCCAGTCCATGGAAAATTTGTCTTCCATGAAACTGGTCCCTGGTGCCAAAAAGGTTGTGGACCACAGCTTTAAAGGTACAGCATGAGGTTGCTTACGCTCTGCAGCTGAATGTTTATAGCTGCTTTTCTCTTAATTCTCTTTGTTGTGCTGTAACTGGATGTGCTGTATATTAAAATTCATGTCTTTTGTACTGATGTTGTATTAATTTATGCATTTTCTCAAGCTGAGCATTCAAATGAAAAACAGAAATAATATGGACATATAAAGGGCTATGGTATCTCTATTTTTTTCTTTTGCTATAAATTAAAGGAAAATAAACTTATTATGAAATACAAGAACCTCCATGACCTGTATCCTTCTTACTATTCCAGCTTCCTCTCCTGCTTCTCCTATATATACAATCTATGTTATTCTAAAATACTTATGATTTAGCGCATGTTGAGCTATGATGCCACACTATGTGCAGTCAGTGTTTCAGGAAAGAGAAGATATTTTAGATGTATATAGGAATAGTACTTGGTATTTAATTAATTGAAGTGGGATGCAGTAGAAAAGGGAGAATTTTAGATTACTCTCCAATTTATATTTGGTGAGAAATAGTAAAATGACATCCTACACAGGGTGTGTGTGGGGGGCACCATCCCACAAAACAGGGATGTCTGAGTAGCATGTATGAGGCTAAGAACTTTGATATTCTTCCTACTCTCACCATCGATTTTCTCAAATATAAGACATTTAGGGAAAAAAAGAACGAAGCTCCTCTGTAAAAAGCCTTCGAATGACTGCACTTGCCTCACAAACTGTTTCTTCTCACAACCCACCTATCATTGCTTTCAAACCTAGAATGGATAAAAAGTAGTCCAAGGATTTCTCCAGGAGGAGATAGCCCACACACCCAGGGGGTTTTACCACCTCACCAATCTGTGTTAGTAAGAGAATGTGTGTGGGAGTGGATTTTAGACCAAGGATAAAATGTAGAGTGCAGCTGGGCTGAATTCACTGTCAGGATGCATCCACCCAGAGTATGGAATTTAATGTTTTAGCTTATGAACGTGGGGAAGACATCAATAACCTGATAAGTTAGCTAACCCAAGCCTGGACTCATCAACCCACATTTTATAGAGTGGAAATGTCTGAACTTTGTTGGCATTCCCTAAAGGAAGAAGTCCAAAGGCTCAAAAAGATAAAAATGTTGGAATGAATCTGCTCAACCTCTTTTCACTATCCCACAAAGAGGGATACTTGAGACTACTTCTCAAGGTACTAAGAAATATGTCATTGAGGAGGTCACCATCCTGGTAGGTGTGGGATCTTGAAAACTGGTTGCTAAATAAAGCCATCATTAAAAATTAAACGAATTATCTGAAAATACTATTATAAAAATAATTCTTCTTTTCCCAGCTACCTGTCTGAAGCAGAGATTTCTCCTTATACTTCAACCAAAACAACGTATTTCAACAGATTGAATGCAGGTGCGTATGTGGAATTCCCACGGTCTCTCAGTGAGCCTGACATTAAAGACAGTTGTGCTTTTTTCCAAGATGGCTGAATAGAGACACCGGGCACCGGTTCTCCTCAGAATGAAGAACCAAAGTTACAGAATAATAAGCATGGCCCAAGTGGAATATTGAGGGAGGAGTGCCAGAACCTACTGGAGGACCCACAGGAAGAAGCTGGAGCACAGAACAAGAAGGAAAGAGTTGGGCAAAGATCGATCTCCGAGGAGCTTCGAGTTCGGCGGAAAAGGTAGGTGGAGGTGTTTCTTTTGCTTCTCCCACACTGTCCTAGGGCCCCTCTACCCTCGCCAGCCCAAGCGCTGCAGTGGTTGGCAATCTGGGAACCTCTTAAGGGCAGAGCACCAGGCTGCCAGGCCACGCGGGGTGCTTGCCCTGCCCCCACACCCAAGCCGGGCGCCTGTTGTGAGCCCCAGTCCTGCCCGGGCAGTCTCGGCCATTCTGTCTCTTCATCACTGGTCCCACACAAACATCCCCCAGCGCCCACCTGGACTGTGACAACCACAAGGGGACCCAGGGAGCTACAGGATTCCTGGAGTTCTTACCCTGAGGGAGGGCAGCCCCTAGAGGAAGGGGAAGTACAGCGTGCCAGAGCACCCCCTGCGACAAAGGAAACCAGAGTGCATGCAGCCCTCCTTCGCCAGAGAGCTCCCAGCTTGTGAGCCGAAGGTTTAGAAAACAAGAAGCAGGGGTGGGATGGAATGGGATGTGGAGACGGAGACTTCTGCTCCCCACACCACACACTACTGCAGATGTAGACATGACTGTTCCCATGGGGAATATGGCACAGGTGTGCTGAGGGATGGCCAGTGGGGCTGCATCCCCACTAACTGTGCTAACTGAGCCCAGATTTGCATGGAGCGTGATGCCCATTTCCCCTCCTACCCAGAGAGGCAGCATTTTTGCAGCTGCTCTGCAAAAATGCCTAGGGAATATCAGACCTTATATATCCCACTAACCTTCCCCAGCACCCACTTGGACTACAGCAGCCACAAGAGGCCAGAAGGTCCCAGGGGGACTGCAGGATTCCCAGAGTTTTAACACTTAGGGCAGGCTGCCTATAGGGGAGATGAGAGTGCAGGATGCCAGGGTAACCCTTGGGACAAAGGAGACACCAGGGTGCATACTCTCCTCCATTTGAGAATTCTTTGCTTGTGTGATGGCGTCTGCACTCCTCCCAGTGGAGAAGCGGGGCAATGCTGGGCTCTGTACACGAGAAGAGAAGTTCGTCCCAGCGACCAAGTAGCACAGGTGCCTGGGGATGGACCTACTGATAGTGATTTCTCCTTCTCCTCCTTGCCCACCGCTGCCAATGCAGCTGCAGCTGTACCTGCAGGGGGCTGGCACTGGCGCTCCAGGGGACAGTCATTCCGGGGCATTTAGGAATGGCTGCAACCTACTGGCAATATGACTACTATGCCTGGGCTTGCACAGAGGGCAGAGCCCAGGTCTCTCCCTTTAAGGAGTGGCAGCTTCCTGCAGAGGAGCACAGGTGAGCAGAAAAGCTGTCTGTTTCAGGCTGAGAGAAGTTTTGCCCTGAGGCCATCTGGGCAGACAGCTGTGGGACAAGCATTTTCCATGGCTCTCTGCTACATTAAGGGCCCAGGGAAAATGACAGGGTCTATCTGAACTGAAAAGTCAACAATCCCTGGATAGTGCTGAGATAGGGAGGTGGATTGCTTGTCTGCCTACCCAGGCCATGGAGCTGGAGTAGGCCATATGGACAGCCATATGAAGAAGAATGAAAATGAATTTCTATCTCTCACCATATACAAAAATTAACTCAAGATGTAAATGTAAGACCTGAAATCATAAAAACTCCAGAATAAAATCTATGAAAAACTCTTCTCAACATTGGCCTATGCAAAAAATTTACGACTAAGACCCCCAAACCAAATGTAACAGAAACTATAATAAATAAATGGGACTTAATTAAACTAAAAACCTCTTACAGCAAAAGAAACAATTAACAGAGTATATAGACAACCTACAAAATGGGAGAAAATATTTGCTAACGATGTATCCAACAAAAGACTAATATGTAGCCTCTACAAGGAACTCAAGCAACTTGGCAAGAATAAAACCCCATTAAAAAGTGGGCAAATGAAATGAACAGGCATTTTTCAAAAGAAGATATACAAATGGCCAACAAACATATGAAAAAATGCTCAACATCACTAATCATTAGAGAAATGCAAATGAAAACCACAGTGAGATACCATCTTACTCTAATCTGACCATTATTAAAAAGTCAAAAAACAATAGATGTTGGCACAGATGAGGTGAGCAAGGAACTCTTAACATGCTGTTAGTGAGAATGTAAATTAGCACAACCTCTGTGGAAAACAGTATGGAGTCTTCTCAAAGAACTAAAAATAGACCTACCATTCAATCCAGCAATCCCACTATTGGGTATCTACCCAAAGGAAAAAAGTCATTCTATAAAAAAGATACCTGCACTCATATATTTATCACAGCACAATTCACAATAGCAAAGATATGCAATCAACCTAAGTTGATTTAACTTTCCTAAGTGTACATGGATACTAAATGTGTGTATATATGTGCACGTGTGTGTGTATATGCACACACACATTTACCATGAAATACTAAGCCATGAAAAAGAATGCAATGTCTTTTGCAGCAACTTGGGTGGAATTAAAGGCCATTATCCCAAGTGAAGTAACTCAGGAATAGAAAATCAAATACCACATGTTCTCACATATGTAAAAGCTAAGCTACCTATGCATAGTTGTACAGAGTGGAATAATAGACTTTGGGAACTCCAATGGAAGAGCTGGGGGTGGGGGAGGGATGAAAAATTACCTCTTGGGTACAACATATACTATTTGGATGATGGGTACGCTAAAAACTCAGACCTCACTGCTATATAATGTATCCATATAACAAAACTGCAGTTGTATACCCTAAAAATATTGAAATTAAAAAAAGTTTAACGGAAAGAAAATGAATTGCAAAAATGTAAAACAATGTCATTTTTCTCTTGGAGACAGAATCTTGCTCTGTCACCAGAGCTAGAATGCAGTGATACAGTCATAGCTCACTGTAAACTCAAACTCCTAGGCTCAAGCTATCTTACCTTTCTACTATGTATTATTTATTTTGGAAAATGTAGTTATTTTTCATAAATTATATTATGTTTTTATGTAATGGGTTATTTTTAATAAATATTTTTTAAATTGTATAGTTCAACTTATAATACAGTAAATATTGAGGGGGATATGTGTGTGCATCACAAAAGGTTTTTTCTTAATACATCATGAATTTAAAGAGGAGGGGTACTGAGATCAAAAAGTTTGAGAATTAGTGTTTTAGATCATTCATATACTAGGTAGTCAAATAGCTCACTCTCTTAATTCACTTAAAGTCTTTATTAAAGATCACCAGTCATCATTATTATAAGTAAACTTGTGATCCTTTCTCTCTATATACATCTCCTATCATCCTTTAACAAATTTAATTGATATGTATCTTATTTATTTTGTTTGCTATATACCTCTTCAGGTGATTATCAGTTTTCTTTAGGCAGGGAAATAGTCTGTCACTCTATCCATAATGTCTAGAAGAGAGCCTTGTGCATGGTAGATGCTAATAAATATTTTTTGATTGTCTGGTTGAATGAATGAATGAATGCATTTCAGTTATCAATTCCACAGACAGATTTCTATGAGTTTCTTAATTAGCTATAGGAAGGTTTCTTAACAGATTTGTACCATGGATATGTCAGAGTATATTTTTTTAATTATGAAAAAAAAATGTATTATCAGCCAGGCACAGTGATGGTTGTTTGTACTCCCAGCTACTTGGGAGGCTGAGGCAGGAGGATTGCTTGAGCCCAGGAGTTCCAGGCGGTAGGGTGCGATGATTGTGCCTGTGAATAGCCACTGCACTTCAGCTGTCAAAATTTATTTAGTTCCTCAGTGAGGTAACTAGCAGGAAAACTAAGTTAGTTCAAAGGAATAAGAGTTTTATTGTCAATGGGAAAATAATACTGAATGAGTTTGCCAGTTTGATACAAAATTGGTTAATGTCATGTACCATACTAAACCATAATTTCTGGGGTTATATTTTCTACAGAAAGAAAATATCAGATACAAATATACAAGTTAACATGTAAAATCATGCAATCTGTTTTTTAATCAGTAGCAGATAATCATTTAAGGAAAAAAGAGAATTACTGATTCCCTTAGATAAATAAATCTTTCTTGGGTTCATTTATTAAACAATGTCCCAATATGACATTGAAAAGATATGGTGCTCTTTCTTTGCCTTATTTGCAAACTTTGGGTGATTTTTCTTTAAGTGTCCCTCTCTTATGATTGTAAGTAATCTCCAAATATTATTCCAAGTCACAAAAATATCTGGCTTCATAATGTTTTGACTTGATTATTTACATAGGTACACTGATAATTATTAATTAATTCAAGCCTCAAAGAGCATTTAGGGTTGAGAAAATAAAGGTTAGAAAATTAACTTTAGTCTGGAAATTTCAGTAGGAATATAGAGTTGGACTTTTAAATTTCTCTTTATTTGCTCTTTTATTTTGAGTCTAGAAAATGAAAGACAAAGGTCTTTTTGTGTAAGATTTCTTGCAATGTCTATAAATTTGGGTGAATTTTTCTCTCTTCAAGACCACCCAAATATTCTAAGATCTCTGGCCTATCAGGAAGTGACTTTTCCTCTCGCTTGTGGGACTGGGACTTTGTAAGTCATATAATAAGGCAGTAGTCCAGTTTGGTATGAGGATATTGTGAGTATTAGTTCTATTTGTGAAGTGAAACACTTATTCCTTAAAGGTGAGATGTAGAAACTTACTATCAAGTATAATTATCTAGTATGACTTTCCTTGCACTCCCAATTTGTCAAATGTGTTATAGTAAAAGGAAAGATGTATTCTTATTGAAACTATGAAATAAATGCATTGTCATAAATAGTAAGAAGGCTCAGCGAAAGCATTTGTTTCTGAATTTTCAGAGGTCATCAAGAATCAGATATTTAAAAAATGTTTCACTTCAGTTCACAAAAGCATAGTCCACTAAATTGAGGGTTAGAGATAAATTAATAAGAAAGGGAAAGGCTTCCTTAAAAGTCCATCAGAAAATAGAGTTCTAGAAATAATACCAAGAATATGCTAAAAGAAATAACCACAATTAATACACCTCATTAGTGTATTTGATTCTATGTAATTCCTATGCTTCTGGATCTGTTTTT